AATAGGTCCTATTACCTGTGCCACCCAACTGGGTGAGACCCTTCAATAGGGTTTGTCAGACACCCTATATAGGAATGATCCTACTGGCATTAGGGTGGTGCTCCTCGAGGTCAGAGGCCACAGAAGAAGGAGGTACCCCTCTTTGCTGTTCTCCAGCCTCCTCGAGTGACATTTCCACGTGCTGGAGCAAATCAGATGAATAGGGCCTGCAGTTAAATCCCAGCAAACTGCAGCAGCCCTACAGAAGAGCGACCTGACCATTGAAGGAAAAACAGACAAGCAAAAAGCTATAATAAGAGCATCAACAACAACAAAAAAGCCCCCATAAAAACCCCATCGAAGGGTCAGCAGCCTCAAAGAGCAAAACTAGACAAACTCACAAAGATGAGAAAGAATCATTGAAAAAATGCTGAAAACCCAAAATCCCAGAGTGCCTCTTCTCCAAATGATTGCAGCATCTCTCCATCAAGGGTATAGAACTGTACAGAGGATCAGATGGATGAATTGACAGATGTATGCTTCAGAAGATGGGCAATAAAAAACTACACTGAACTAAAAAGAGCATGTTCTAACCCAGTGCAAAGAAGCTAAGAACCTTGATAAAAGGTTAGATAAAGGTTGCTAACAAGAATAACCAGTTTAGCCGGGCGCGGTGGCTCAAGCCTGTAATCCCAGCACTTTGGGAGGTCGAGGCGGGTGGATCACAAGGTCGAAAGATCGAGACCATCCTGGTCAACATGGTGAAACTCCGTCTCTACTAAAAATACAATAAAACTAGCTGGGCATGGTGGCGCGTGCCTGTAATCCCAGATACTTAGGAGGCTGAGGCAGGAGAATTGCCTGAGACCAGGAGGCGGAGGTTGCAGTGAGCCGAGATCGTGCCATTGCACTCCAGCCTGGGTAACAAGAGCGAAACTCCGTCTCAAAAAAAAAAAAAAAAAAAAAAAAGAATAACCAGTTTAGAGAGGAACATAACCTGATGGAGCTGGAAAACACAGCAGGAGGACTTCGTAAAGCATACACACGTATCAATAGCCAAATTGACCAAGTGGAAGAAAGGTTATCAGAATTTGAAGACCACCTTGCTGAAACAAGGCATGCAGACAAGACTGGAGAAAAAAGAATGTAAAGGAATGAAGAAAGCCTCCAAGAAATATTGGACTTCACAAAAAGACCAAACCTATGATTGATTGGAGTACCAGATTGGGGAGAATGGAAACAAGCTAGAAAACCCACTTCAGGATATTATCCAGGAGAAATTCCCCAACCTAGCAAGACAGGCCAACATGTAAATTCAGGAAATACAGAGGATACCACTAAGATACTCTACAAGAAGATCAACCCCCAAGACACACAATCAGATTCTCCAAGGTTGAAATGAAGGAAAAACTGTTAAGGGCAGCCAGAAAGGCCAGGTCACCTACAAAGGGAAGCCCATCGGACTAACAACAGACCTCTCAGGAGAAACTCTACGAAGCCAGAAGAGATTGGGGGCCAATACTTAACATTCTTGAAGAAAAAAATTTTCAACCCAGAATTTCATATCCAGCCAAACTAAACTTTATAAGTGAAGGAGAAATAAAATCCTTTCCAGACAGGCAAATGCTAAGGGATTTTGTCACCACCAAGCCTGCCTTACAAGAGCTCCTGAAAGCGGCACTAAATATGGAAAGGAAAAGCCAGCCAGCACCAACCACTGTAAAAACACACCAAAATATGAAGACCAATGACACTGAAGAAACTGCACCAACCAGAATGCAAAATAACCAAATAGCAGCATGACGACAGGATCAAATTCACACATTTTGCTGTTTTTCTAATTATCCTATCTGTCCTTTACCTTCTGTTTTTTTCCTTTTCTGCCTTCTTAGGCTAATTGAGTAGTTTTGAAATATTCCATTTGCCTTTATAATTCAGCTGCCAAATGTTTGGGTGGGTGGGGAGTTAACCTTGCTCTTAAACTCTACTCCTGGCTTTCCACGTCTTGGAAGATCTCTTTTTATCCTGCTGGTCCTTGGGTTTGCATTTGGTGAAGGCTCGGTGCTTCTCAGAAGGATCACTTTCAGGGCTTTGTCCTTTGCATTCTGCAAAGGCCCAGGGTACTTGAGGCACTCTCAGCCCTTCTGTTCTGTTCCTAACCTTTGGTGTGTGGTACTTGTGCACTGGATGGAAGTTCCATAGGAAAGAACTGGCAGGTGAATATGCAGTTACTCTTTGATCAGGGCTCTTCAGAATTCTGATCCTCACATTAACAACTAATGAGTTTCTTAAAAATTCAGCTGTTTCATAAAAATTTTCTTAAAAATTCAACTTCATAGTTCCTTTTTTTGGCAAGTTTATTCCTCCTCCTATCAGAGATGAAGCAGCTATGCATCTCTTTTTTGTGAAGAGATCATCTGTATTTTGAATTTAATTTATTTAGGTTTTTCTATGCATCTCAGCTCAGATAGTTTTTATAGAAAATCTATGATTTTGTGACTTACGCAACTTCTTGTTGTACGCTTTGGTTATTTTTAAAGCTTCTATTATAAATATATGTAAATGGAAATGCTTTGCAAAAATCTATATTTAATTCTTATTTGCTAAGTGGTATAATGAATGACAGTCTCTGAATGTGGAATAGTTGAGGTCTACAAAAGGTTAATGAGTAAATGAATGATATTTACTTTGGTTATTGAGTCACTGGTACTGATCTGGCCATACATGAATATTCATAATCATCCTTATAAGCAGTAATACACATTTATAAGATGATGGGCTAGAGCTGGGCTAGAGTTTATTGATAAGGGGCAGAAAGAAAGTATAGTGATTGATTATGCAGCCTTGCCTCATGGACCTTTGTACAACCTTATGAGTTAAAGTGAGATGCAAATGTATTCTTTATTAAAATGGCTTATCTAAATTTCTCTAGAGTTATATACAATGATTTTCTCATACTCAAGATAATTTTGGTTATGTTTATTAAAAACAAAGCTTATTTTCTGCATTTTCCAATAATGTTGTAAAAAAGACGAGGTACTCTTCTTTGTTTTGGTTTCTTGTCTTCATTACATTCCTTTTACTTTATATTATCTTTTAAGATTTTGTAAAAACATTTCAGCTGGGTAAGTGCAGGCTTAACTGATGCACTGCTTTCTGGAATCCAGGGGTGACTGACACGTAGAGGATACTCAGACGTGAAATGCTCGACAAAATTCTAAGATATCTGTTTTTTAATTGTAAATTCTTAAACATTCATAAAAGTAGTAAGATTAGAGTAATGGAATCCTGTGCTTCTAATAACTATTAACACAAGTCAATCTTATTTATCCTATCCACTTTATTAAAAATTTATTTATTGCCAAATTATTTTAAAGCTAATCCCAGATACTATGTTTCATTCTGCTTGTCTGTTGCTATCTTGATAGGAAAAATTTTAAAACATAATTACTGTGACACAATGATATCTAATGAAGTTAATAATTATTTCAGAAACTTTCAAAAGTTGATTTTTCATGCTGTTTTTCTTTTTCTTTTTCTTTTTTGAGGCGGAGTTTCGCTCTTGTTACCCAGGCTGGAGTGCAATGGCGCGATCTCGGCTCACCGCAACCTTCGCCTCCTGGGTTCAGGCAATTCTCCTGCCTCAGCCTCCTGAGTAGCTGGGATTACAGGCACGCGCCACCACGCCCAGCTAATTTTTTTGTATTTTTAGGAGAGACGGGGTTTCACCATGTTGACCAGGATGGTCTCGATCTCTTGACCTCATGATCCACCCGCCTCGGCCTCCCAAAGTGCTGGGATTACAGGCTTGAGTCACTGTGCCCGGCCTCATGCTTTTTTCTAGCTACCTAGAAATTTGCCTGGGAAATTATATTTATTATATATTTCCAATGTTATTCAAATAGTAATATGCTGCTTTCTAAAACTGTATTTTTTTCTGTTGCTCTCCAGAATATCCCAAACATATCCATAGGATATAGGATGACCTGTGAAAATAGGTTGGAAAAACATTTATCTTGCTTATCTTATGATAAGCAGAGTTCTGAGAAGTTTGGTAATAAAGAGTTAACTTGGCTTAACTAAGATTTTCCTAAATTATTTGATCCCAGAATCTGTTTTTTATGTAACATTTGTTAGCCAAAATACATTTGGAGGAATGTTGTTCTAGGCAGGAGAATGCTGCCTCTGAATAGCAAAATAATCTTTATTTTTATTTCAGTTAATTAGGTAATTATTTGTCCATATTGTATTATCATAATCAATTAAGATCTTTTGTTTTTCTGTAATCTGCTTAATATTGATAATGTGGTATGACAAGTCATCTTTGTAAGGATCTTATTTTATGAAAAACTTTCCTCACACGTATTTTATGAAAACCATTTGTTGTATAAGCAAATTAAGTATAAGCATTTTGTGTTTCCACTAGATAAATATTTGCACACAAAAAAATAGACATCAGAATCCCATATAGAAAGCTAAATGCATCTGTATTTCATTGAAGAGGGAACTAGAAATAAGATGTATAGAAGTCAAGGAAATACAGCTCAATTTATAACAGTGAACAATTAGATTGTGTTTTATTTGTGAAGAATCGGCAAATAACTTTTAAAAAGAGTTTAAACATAGGCAGTAGCATGGGAATTCTCACATGGTCTACACTTTTATGTACCCTTAAAAGTATGTTCACTTAAAAAAAGGTAAACAGTTAAAAGGGCCAATTGAAAGCTAATTGCCCAAACAAGGAAACAAAATTCTCCCATCTGTCCGCCTTCTCTGTTCACCCTGTGACATAGGAGTGACAAGGGTCTGACAAGGCACTGGTGCCCTAGTAGTTCTGCATCTCATCCTCCTTCATACAATTGAGTTGACATCTGCTCCCTGTTGCCCATACTCCCAACCTCACCAGTCCTCCAAAGTGGATTCATTGTTGCTCAGGCGTGTTTTGTCTTTATATTGCATAAATGTTACAGAGAAGACTTTTTCCTTTGTGGTGCTACAAAGATAATTTTTTCCTGTTACAGTCAAACTACAACTTCAAGCAGAAGAGAGAGGAGTTGTATCTATCAAAGGAGTGTGTGCTAACCGTTACCTTGCTATGAAGGAAGATGGAAGATTACTGGCTTCTGTAAGCATACTTGGTTTTTTGTTAGCTTTTAACGCTGTTAATTTATAAGCATTGGTGTTTATCAGTTTTACATGTATCATCTTCATAGTCACACTATAAAATGCTGAGTATTTTCTTTATTTCACAGATGCAAGAACTGATGTTCTAAGGAGTAAGTATAGTAAGAAAACACAGCTCATATAAAATAGAGACTGGATTGGGCTGGGGGCAGTCACGAACTCGAGATCACTGCTTTTACTCTGCAAAACGATTAAACTATAATTTAAAAAAGTTTTCCTTCTGTTATGTAATTGAAGATCAGTGGGAATAGATGTATAAAATTTTGGTTATCAGTTTTTAAATTTCTTCTTTAGAATGTGACATACAAAACACTTGTGCAGTGTAGAACACTAGTTGAGAATGTAGACTTTTCGCCTGGTACAGATGCTGACTCTGCCACTTATGAGATGTGTGTTCTTAGGCAAATTATTCTGAGTTAGTTCCCTTACCTGTAAAATGGAAATAATAATGATCCTATCTCACTGGGATTTTATGATAATTTAGATACAATACAACAAGCATCCAGATCAGCATCTTACACGTAATAGATCCTGAAAATTGTTGTTTTCTCCTCATGTTACTTCTTATATATAGATGTGTCAAGAGAAGGATTTTTTTTAAATTTTTTTTTAATGAGATGGAGTCTCGCTCCATCCTGCAGGCTGGAGTGCAGTGGCGCTATCTTGGGTCACTGCATCCTCTACCTCCTGGGTTCAAGCAATTCTGCCTCAGCCTCCCAAGTAGCTGGGATTATAGGAGTGCCCCACCACACCTGGATTTTTTTATTTTTTTATTTTTTTATTTTTTAGTAGAGACAGGGTTTCGCTATGTTGGCCAGGCTGGTCTTGAACTCCTGACCTCAGGTGATCCACCTACCTCAGCCACCCAAAGGGCTGGGATTACAGGTGTGAGCCACGATGCCTGGCTGTGGAGAGGGACTTTTCTTTTTTACATTTCATCACAGCTTGTCAGAGGTAGTAGTCCTGTGTAGTATTCTGTCTACTATTACAGGCTCACTGTCAACTTCACCGTTATTATTAAAGATGGGATTATATATCTGTTGAGCATACAGTGTATGTATGAAGAATGGTGCAGGAAAATAAAGAAATACAAAAGACACAGATCTTATTCATATCTCCTTGAGGGAGTAAATAGGACATGTATGTAAATTGTGTGTGTGTGTGTGTGTGTGTGTGTATGTATGTATGTGTGTGTGTCACAGCTCTTACAGCAATGCCACTGGCCAGTTATAGCCTTTCTATATAACCTCCCCATAGAAAGGATCTAATACTACTAAGAAATTGGGGTATTTTGAGCTATACAAATAGTTTTTGAAATTTCTTCTGAATGAAGACCTTTGGATTTCTAAACGCACCAAAACAAGACTTACAAAGAAAAAGGATATTTCAACCATCCCAATTTCAGACTGACTGTATGTCAAAGATATACTTATGTTGATATTATCAGTTTATGTGATTTTTGCAGGATAATCACAAGTTTGAGTGTAGTGGCTGTCAATTTTTGGTAGAGGTAGTTGAATAAATTGTAGAATCATCTTTAAGGATAGCCAGTACTTACTGAGTGTAAGTGTGCCAGATGCTATGGTAGGCATCAGGCTTATAAAATTTAATATCAGATGGTCTCTGCCCTTAATGAGTGACTCCGGGGGAGACAGAAATGTAAAGAAGTATTTATAATAAGTTATAAGGGTTTTGATAGGCTACTTCTATATTTGACATACATGCATAATAATATAGGAAAAGATAAGTATTATGATAGAGGAAGCAATACAGAAAAGGAGGTGATTAAATTTGTCTAGAATTGGGGGAGATGACCTACAAGTAGGATTTTAGATGATATAGAGGAAGGAGTTCAGCAGGTAGTCATGGGGCAGAACAAGTAGAGATGAAGGTATAGATAATGTAGGACATAGGACATGCAAAGGTGTGGATGCAAAAATCTACTTGATGCATCTCTATAATTACAAGTAATTAATGAATGCTGGAATGTACAATGCAATGGAGTAACAAGGTGGAAGGGAAGAGAGAGAAAACCAGGGAGGTAAATAGACTGCCTGCTGACTCTCCTGAAGGGCTTTATATACCATGCTGACTATAAGCAGTGGAGAGCCATGAAGAGTTTTAAGAGACCCAATTAGATTTAAATTTGAGAAAGATCATCCTGGCAGAAGTGTAGAGAATAGATTTAAAGGGGCCAAGACTGGTGGAGAGAGATCAGTTAGAAGGCCACTGTCATAGTCCAAGCAAGTGATGTTTGGATCCTGGCAATAACAGTGGGTTATAGAGAACTGAGGAAAGTGTTAGCACTTGTGATTGATTAGATTTAGGAGTAAAGATGAAGGAAAAGTCAAAGATGGCTTTTAGGTTTCTGGTTTGGATGAGAAGGTAGATGCTAATGGGGAAGGAAGAAACAGCAGGGTTTGGGAAAAGGTAGTAAGTTCAAATTTAGGCCTATTTAGTTTTGAGTCGTCTAAGGGAAATTCAGGTAAAGATGTTCACTGGGTAGTTGGAATGATAAATCTGGAGTTTAGGGGAAAGGTCTACATTGATTGATAGATTTGGGTATGATCAGCATATGGGTGGTAGTTAAATCAGGGGAATGTATAAGGTTTCCTAGGTAAAGAATACAGCTTAAAACATTAACTACTTGGGACTTCCACTTCTACTCTGTACTTACCTTTTATTCTGCCAATCTATTGTCAACTCAAGAGGTGATGTAATGCTTTGGGAATCTACCAAAGTAGCATTTTAAATATCCCCCATGACAGTTAGCCAATAAGTAATTTTGGATGATTTAGACATTATATTAGGGAGAGGAAGATGAGTTTCTAACCCTCCTACCCCTTTCACTTCAGGATGTGACAGATCACTGTGACTTCTGCAGTAAGTTGGTTTGGCGACTGTCAGACAGTGAGGGTGGTAGAAGAAAAAAAGGAGATGCATACATTTGCTTCTGTCATAACTAATTATGGATAGCACTAATCAAATGGTTTTAAAGCTCCAGCTTTTTTTTTTTTTTTTTTTTTTTTTTTTTTTTTGAGATGGAGTTTCACTCGTTACCCAGGCTGGATTGCAATGGCACGATCTTGGCTCACCGCAACCTCCGTCTCCTGGGTTCAAGCAATTCTCCTGCCTCAGCCTCCCGAGTAGCTGGGACTACAGGCGTGCACCACCATGCCCAGCTAATTTTTTGTATTTTTAGTAGAGATGGGGTTTCACCGTGTTGACCAGGATGGTCTCAATCTCTTGACCTCGTGATCCACCCGCCTCGGCCTCCCAAAGTGCTGGGATTATAGGCGTGAGCCACTGCACCTGGAAAGCTCCAGCTTTTTATGTGTCTGTCACAATCTGGGTCAGTGAATGCCTTGAGATTAGTTGTTACTCTGTGTTCTTATACTTGTTGAGATTAGGAGAAGCAGTAACCCAGTGTATTAGTCTGTTTTCACGCTACTGATAAAGACATACCCGAGACCAGCCAATTTACAAAAGAAAGAGTTTTAATTGGACTTATAGTTCCACATGGCTGGGGAAGCCTCACAATCATGGTGGAAGGCAAGGAAGAGCAAGTCGCATCTTAAATGGATGGCAATAGGCAAAGAGAGAGAGCTTGTGCAGGGGAGCTCCTCCTTATAAAACCATCAGATCTCATGAGACTTACTATCACAAGAACAGCATGGGAAAGACTTGTCCCCAAGATTCAGTTACCTCCCACTGGGTCTCTCCTACAACACATGGGAATTCAAGATAAGATTTAGGTGGGGACACAGCCAAACCATATTATTTTACCCCTGGACCCTCCAAAATCTAACGTCCTCACTTTTCAAAACCAATCATGCCTTCCTGACAGTACCCGAAAGTCATAACTCATTTCAGCATTAACTCAAAAGTCCACAGTCCAACATCTCATCTGAGACAAGGCAAGTCCCTTCTGCCTATGAGCTTGTAAAATCAAAAGCAAGTTAATTACTTCCTAGATACAATGTGGGTACAGGCATTGGGTAAATACAGCCATTCCAAATGGGCCAAAACGAAGGGGCTATCGGCCCCATGCAAGTCTGAAATCCAGTGAGGCAGTCAAATAATAAAGCTCCAAAATGATTTTCTTTGACTCCATTTCTCTCGTCTGGGTCATGCTGATGCAAGAAGTGGGTTCCCGTGGTCTCAGGCAGCTCTACCCCTGTAGCTTTGCAGGGTACAGTCTTCCTCCCAGCTGCCTTCACAGGCTGACATTGTCTGTGGCTTTTGCAGGTGGATGGTGCAAGCTCTCAGTAGATACACCATTCTGGGGTCAGGAGGACAGTGGCCTTCTTCTCACAGCTTCAGTAGATGGTGCTGCAGTAGGGACTCTGACCACCACATTTCCCTTCTGCGCTGCTCTAGCAGAGGTTCTTCATGGGGGCCCTGCACCTGGAGCAAACTTCTGCCTGGACATCCAGGCATTTCCATACATCTTCTGCAATCTAGATGGAGGTTCCCAAACCCCAATTCTTGACATCTGTGCACTGCAAACTCAACACCACGTGGAGGCTGCCAAGGCTTGAGGCTTGCACCCTCTGAATCAACAGCCTGAGTTGTATCTTGGCCCCTTTTAGTTAGAACTGGAGTGGCTGGGAAGCAGGGCACCAAGTCCCTAGACTGTACATAGCAGAGGGACCCTGGAAACCAGCCCACAAAACCACTTTTTCCTTGTAAACCTCTGGGCCTGTGGTGGGAGGGACTGCTGCAAAGGTCTCTGACATTCCCTGGAGAAATTTTCCTCATTGTCTTGGTGATTAACATCAGGCTTCTCATTACTTGCAGAAACTTCTGCAGCCCACTTGAATTTCTCCTCAGAAAATGGGATTTTATTTTCTATTGCAAGGTCAGCCTGCACATTTTCTGAACTTTTATTCTCTCCTTCCCTTATAAAACTGAATGCACCCAAGTCACCTCTTGAATGCC